TATATATATATATATATATATATATATATATATATATATATATATATATATATATATATATATATATAGGGTCAGGTTCAAGAGAACCGCAAAAATTATGAAAAATTGAAGAACACCCAGATAATAGTTCATTTGGATGTTACTCACATATGCATAAAAGTAATTTGTAAGCATTTTTTCCGGTATGTACATATGCATAATATGCAAATATGCATAAAAATCAAGAAACAATTTTAAATACCAAGATGTTTTTCAGTTTTTTTTTGGGTTTCTCCCCGAATCTTCATATATATATATATATATATATATATATATAAATAAAGGAGCGTTCAAATACAAACTGTCTCAGTTTATACAAACCATACAAACTAATAACAACCAATAATATAAATTATTTTGTTTTTCTTTATTTTTAATTATAAGGGTATTATGGTCTTTTGAGATTACAATAGTTATGTCTGGTAAGTATTTAATACTAATAGATAAATTTGGTAATTATTCAATTTTATATAAATATAAATTATATCTTGATTAGCTAGCACATTTTTCGTAAATATTTAATTGATTTATCCATTAAATATATTAATATAAATTGTCATCTTTGAAAAATATACAATAATTGTTGATTAAAAAATATTTTTATATTCCATCATTTATTAAAATATCTTCCCTTTTATAGTTTCTAGGTAACTATATTTTATCATTAACAGTTTCATTATGTTTCATCATTAACATATCCATCATTAACAGTTTGATTTTGTTTCATTCTATCCAATGTTATGGTTTCATTATGTTACATTATTAACATATTCATCATTAACAATTTCATTATGTTGCATCATTAACATATTCATTATTAACAGTTTATTATGTTTCGTTTTGTTTCATCATTAACAGTTTTATTATGTTTCATCATCAACACTTCTAAATAGTATATTGTCTCATCATTAACAGTTTCATAGTGTCCAATCAAAAATGTTCACGTGATTGAATACAGGAAAGATGATTTCAATGATCGCAACAGTTTACAATTTGTTTCCGTTTTGTCTTTCTTGTTGAAAATAATAATAATTTATTTTCTTTTATTTTTTTAATTTACTAAAATAATTTATTTTAATCGTAGTCTTTAATCATAAAAATGAATGAATGTAATTGGTTTGTAAGGTATGTATAAAAAATATGATTTACAAAGTAAATCCCCCCTCTATATATATATATACATTAATGGGTCATTTGATTGTTGATGAACGTTAGCATATCTAAGTGTGTCAGGATGGATTTTATTGGCTGTTTTGATGTAAGTGACTCATAATGAGTTTTCTTATATATACCTTAATTGGTCTTATTTGACCTAGGGTACGTGTCTAAGTGATAATTTTAAAGTTCTACATATTTGTGAATAATAACTATTTTTTTTTATTAACCTGGATATCCGACTTGCTATGTGAGCTGACTAATCTCAGGGCGACCACCTGCTTTGCAGATAGCATTGAGACCTCCTAGTACTTTTGACCTTTGAAGCCAAGCTCAAACCAATCAGGCACCACACTTATGCTTATAATAACTAATATTTGGTTTTGATATGCATGGTTTAGTTTGAGAACGTGTAGTTTATTTATTTTGTAGAACTGTTTAGATATATTTATAGTAAAATACAAGGAAATACATATTTTCACTTGTTTTTTTTTAAATACATATTATTTTCAATGGATTTTTGGCTGAATTCTATCTAAAATCCCATGAAAAACGTCAAAAGTAGGCACCTAAGGACGACAAAACATTTGTCAAAACTTCGATGAAAACAATTTCTGTCAAAAAATCCTCGATTATCGCCCCATGAAAATACGTCGAAAATGGTCAACGATGGTTGACCAAGCATCCATCGAAAATCACTCGCTAAAGGAATCCCTTGAAAATCCAAACAAAATGCTGAAGTATGGTTGACCAATTTTCGTCGAGAATTCCTCGCAATCTACATAGACTTTAATTTTGGACAAAAACTCAAAGTCGAAATTCTTTTGGATTCCGTCGAAAAGGTTTTAAATTCCATAAAAAAAAATTCCGAACGGTTATGATCGTCGACAAAGGTCATCAAAGATCCGTTTTCTTGTGAGAAGCGGATTTGTATTCTCTACACTGTAGCATAATTGAGTTTATGATACAAAAATATCGTAATTAACAGACTATTTTATAAGATCAAATTAGAGTATGCTCTATGTAAAAGTATTGCCTTTTGTTTATAGGATGTTTTTTAATGTCTTAACAAGTGTTTTTTAAATACTTCTAAAATAAATTTTATAGGTTATTTTTTAAAAGTGTCCTACGCAAAGATCAATTAACAAATACCTATCAGCGACAGTGCCATGTAAACGATGCAATTCATCTTTAACCCAACTGGTTAACTGTTCTATTGTATTGTTTGTCTATCACCAAATCTTCTTTTTAAGTGGGGCTCAACAATATAAAACTTGCTTAAGATCGTTTTATTTAAAATGGTCCAAAAACTTGTTAAGACCCCTAAAGACGTCTTATAAATAAACTTACTGTAACGCTTTACGTATGACACATAATTGTAACACTTCAACGGTTTGTTTGGACCTTTACATGTTTGACGTCTTACAAATTTATTGTGCCGCTAACATGATGTTATGATCATCCGTATATACTTTAATGCACTCATATCTTATAGTTCCGTAGTGAGTTTATAACAAAAGCATTTATCAATTGTATATTTATACGTTCACAGTTACATCATTTGTATCCAATTTAAATCAAATTATCTAACATAAACCGTCAATCTCAGGCATAAGAATGAAAGAAGAAGAGTCAGCCGATGAATATGTTAGAGTTTCAAGTGGTTATTTTCCTTTAAGAGCATTAGTCGTTGATCACGGGTTCTTTCCATCTTGATGAATTATCTTCTGTCGTCTCAAAGCCTGACCTTGGTTCAAATTATATGTAATGTGTATTCAAGCAAACCAACATCAAACATCTTTGAGATCTCTCGGACATTTAAGATGTCCATGTAAACCAACATCTCGGACATAAACTCAGTCAATTTTCCTTTCCAAAACAAGAATGTGGTTCATTCAAAAACATAATCACAAGCAGAGACCGAAAATGATTGATTTATTTCACATTGATCATTACGTGTAAAACCACGCTAACAAGACCAATATATCCATTAAAACTAGGGTACGACGCCTGAGATGCATCCATAACTGTTTACCATCGCAAATAGAGACTTTTTACATAAAGACGATACTTGTATGTTAAAACCACACTGATTTTTCATTAATTAAGACACAGTACTTGACGATTATTAACACATCTGATACATCATGAACCTGTGTGGTCCATGAAATAAAGCAAAGGCAAATAAATTGACCCCTACCCTCCTTTGATCTCAAGAATGTCAACAGGATTTTAACATGTGAAATTAAAAGTATTATTCTTTTTAGTTCTAAATGAAAATATATGATGTTATTTGAAAAATTCCTTTCAAATTATTTGCAATAATCGTTACAAGATATATATATATATACATGAGATTAATTATATGAGTTAATTATGGTCCATAAGTTCTCCTTATTTTGTTGAATTGCTCAAGTATTTGATCGTTATTAAATGTTATTTATAATAATATTTGATTAAAGATTCTGAAAGCGAATGTTTAACAATATTGGCCCCTACATCCTATTACACCTTACAATTTATCTGTTTTATCAAAAGTACAAACCCTAAGTTCTAAACTAGATACTATAGAGGATGCTTAATTGTTAACTATAAGCTAACTTATTTTTTGATCTTTTTAAAAAGCCCTTTTGGTAATAAATAAAAAAAAAGCTAGCTTAAAGCATCTCCAACGTGTTCTCCAAATTTTTTTCCTGGTACGAAAAATCATCTGAAAAGGTCAGAATCTTAAAAAAATTACATTAAACTCTGATCGCTTCTCGATATTAAAGATTCTTACGTTAATTATTTTATTAAAATATCAAAAATATAATTCGTAAAATCATTTCTCTTGTGATCGATCAATGTCAAAAAGTCTTACGAGTGGGTACGAATTATATTTTGTCCAAAACATTTAATTCTGGAGAGTACTCTAAATTTAAAGTTTTTTTTTTTTACATCTTTCTATATGTTTTCTTCGTTTTAAATATTTTTCTTACGGAATATGTAAAAGCCATATAAAATCTCTAAAATTTACATTTTCTACATTCGGAAATAAAACGGTTGGAGTTGTTTTATAAGTTACCCTTTTAAAAACCGACTTATGATAATTTATTGGATTTTTTACCCTTTTTAATTATACCCATTATATTTAACGTAAAACGCCTTTCTATTTTCGTTTTAAGTCATTTTACTTTGTTAACTAGTTCAAAAAATAGTTCTTATACTAAACGTAACTAGTTTATATATGGCTAACGTATATAGCTTAACCGCTAGTTTGACAAACATATCCGTGATTATTGTGATTGGACAAAGCAAGCAAGATATATAACGTTAGAAATTCATGGAGAACGTACGTACTGAATGATACAGACGACCATTAACGTGTATTTGCTGAAATAATCGTACAAGAAACAAACATAAAAAAGATCATCGCGTTCTTCAAGATAAAAGAAAGCAAGAAGAGATTTATGGATGCTTAAATATAAATAGATTGAATTGAAAACAAAGTCAATACCCAAACCATACATGGAAATACAAGTATGGTGCGTTCTTGACTCCCTCTTCTTCTGATCTACAATACAATAAATTTGAAAACATGAACCACAAAAACCCAAAAAAAAAATAAAAATGAAAAACATTAAGTGAAAAAATAAAACCAAAATCCAAGAAAGGTAAATGAATGTAGTAGTTGAAGATGGTAAATGAACTATGACAGATAGCCACCAGCACCGTAGCAGGATGATGCAGCAATAATATTAACTCGGTTTCTGCCGCCATTGATGATGAAACCTGCATTAAGAGCTTCCCCAACTAACCCCAAAAACTTCCCTTAATTCTCATCGAACTCCACGCACATTAAACAAAGAGAGAGAGAGATTGGTTTTGATCAGGTTGTGGTAGAAGGACAGTTGAATGAGGCTTTAATTTGGTGGACTGTGTTTGTGACCAGGTTGTTAATGGTGGTTAATGATTCCGGGCTCATTTTGGCAGCCGGCAAGCTGCTTACTTGTATTTGAAACACTACGGTTATCAGCGAGCCTGTTGATGTACTGCCACGATGATCAGCGCCGTGATCTGTCATGTTGCTGGTGGAAGCACCACCAGCTGATGTGATCTCTTGGTGGCCGTCAGTGGTGATGATGAAACCTGATGGTAGTAATGGAATGTAGGATGGGTCTTCACCGTTCATGGCTATGTTGATCGCCGGCAAGTCGACTGGGCAGTAGATGACTAGTGAACCTGATGCGTCTGTGCAGCTTTCCTGTAGTATTAACATGCTGTTTTGGCTCGGAGAGTATGCCTAAAAGTTAATCATGTTAGACGAAACTTTTGAAATAATACGAGTTTTTTAGACGGACACCGATGAGAAGTGTCATATCACAAACTTTTTTATAAACTTATTGCATAAGATCCACAACTTTTTGTTTTATAAATTCTATAAAATAGTTTACTAGTTTGCTAATATAGACAATTTTGATATCTATAAACCCGATTTCATTATAGTGATAGAAAATGTTCCTACCCTGAGGACGGATATACAGTTTCCCGGATGAGTCCCGTTTGCGATATGTGCGACTTCTTGTACGGGGTTTTGGTTCGATAGAACGTCCCACTGTAAACAAAGCCAAAAAAATATGTATATATTCATTAGATTGTAAGTTCGTATACGTTCGATATATCTGTATGTGAGTAATACCTGAGGTCTAGTCCTTCCATCACGAAAGAAATCGAAGACATTTTGTGGTGGAACCGGAAGCCAAATGGTGGTGGATGCGCTAAGGACCATGCTGTTGGGTTGGCCTGGATCGTTGCTCTTGTGTAGAAAGGCTCGAACCTCAAACTCATTCAAACCTGAAAGCGATGTCCATTGATGACCATTAGAAGGATTGATGCTCGAACAGAAGTTGTTCACCATCCTCTGTGATAGCTTCATCATGCTCCTCTTTCCTTCGGCCGATGGAATTACTGATCAAACAAAATGTCAGCTGTGAAGTTAATGAGACTTAATTAAGTTTATAGTATCATATCAAACAACTGTATATACCTCCTCCAAGATCATGGGAAGAAGAATTGGCCATCATCAAAGATGCACTTCTTTCGCATGCCCTTTGTAGGCAAGCTAGCCATCTTTTGGCTCCGAATGCCAAACCACTGTGTATAAAATCTCTATAAAGCCGATCGATAGGGGCTAGTTCTTCTACTTCGGTATGTTCGACCCATGTAACCTATTCGTATCCACAGAAAAGCACAATTTTCAGAACTCGTTAACTTCTACTAACAAGATAATTAATCAAGATTCGCAAACCTTCGAGTAACCGTTGGGCATTTCTTGAATCAAACAGCCCGAAGGAAGGCGGTGTGCTTTAAATTGCGATTGAGCGTATGGATTATACTGAGGAAGATTGTATGAAACATTAACGATCGCCCACGATCCTTGCTCGATTTGCTGACAAAATCGAAGAAAATAGAACTGTCGGGTAGAGACTAGCGGAGAAAGCACCTGTAATTCTTCATACATCTGGGAAAGATCAAGAAACTGTAAGAAAAGAAAAGAAAACTAGAAGTATATAAGAAGAAATCATTCAGCTCTGAAGGAAAGTACCAGTTGCAAAGAGCCATTTTGAGAACTCAACAATCCAGATGAAATTACTTCGATCGTACGAGCTTTTGACACGATTGTCGGAAAAATGTCGATCCATTTAGTCTGGTAGTAAAACTGGATCGATCAGTCTCGTGTAAAAGTGATTGAAAGCGATAAACGATTAGTATTTAAACGAAAAGTTACTTAACCGAGTCTAGAAACATGTCCACCAATTGCAAACTGTTCATCATCACAACACCGGAAACCCTAGATGCTTCGATTCTAACATTAGGGTTCTTCAAGTTATCATTAGGCCGTGGGAAAACCCGCTTGTAGTTATCAAGATTAAGAACATCCGTCCCATCCTTTCGAGATTGCGTCCACAATGGCTCGTTGGTTTGCAACAGCCTGATCAGTTCATCCATGGCATTACTAGCAATATCGGCTATCACAGACTTATCCATGTCGGAAAGGTGCAGACTGCTGTGGAACGGAGGGTCGGGATTAATGGAGCTCGAGGATGCACCCATGGCGGAGCCCGTGAGAAGATCGAGATCTAAAGACGGACCAGCACTGTTCATCATCACCATCCGGTTTGCTGTACTTCCACCGTAAGTAGCCATGGATAAGTCGAGTGAAGACATGTGAATGGGCTGTACTGGTGGGAGTTGCGACATCGGTCTCCCTATGTACTTGGCCGCAATGCTCGAGACTCGATCCAGCTGTAAAATGAATTTACCCGATAAGTGAATTCGATCTAGTACTGTTTCGTATATCTCTCCAATCTTTTCCAAAACATGAACGCACATGGATTCCATGGCATCATATGCAAGAATCAGATAAAAAGAAGCCAACAAACATATGCTAAAACAGATAGAAAACTACATAGTGATGGTAAACTTGTGAATCGTCACATGCGCCACAATCATCATTGAATTCAAAGCAGAAAGAGTACATAACGTCAAACCTTTTTACAGCTTCATGCACATCATATACAAAACAAAAATGAAAGTATGAATATCTAGAATCCCTTTGAATCTCTCTAAAAGAGCCATTTTAGAGAGAGAGAGAGAGAGAGGGGGTTATTATGTTTACTACCGGTTTAATGGTTTGTCTGTAGCCGATTAAAACTCAAAACAAAGAGAACTGTGATTGATAAATTACCTCTTCTTTCAACTGGGCATTCTCAAAACGAAGTTTTTGTTCATCGAAATAACAATCTTCTCCAATCGGAGGACCACCACATGTTGGGCACACCAAGTTCTTCAGTGCCTCTCGTATCACTATGTTTTCGTAGCGTATCTTGTCGTTCTCAGCTCTCAACGCACAGTTGTCTGCTCGTTCATGTTGTGCCTAAACAAAAGCTAGAAATCAAAGCCTGCAGATTGGCTATATATGTATATGTGTATATATATATATATGTATGCACATATAAACACATCTAGAGAGAGAGAGAGAAGATGAAAACCTTCATTTGGGTTCGTCTATTTTGAAACCAAAACTTAATTTGTCGAGGAGCCAAACCCAACTCTCTGCTTAACTGCATTCTGGTTTTCTCATCTGGATGGGGGCATTCTTTAAAAGTTCTACGAGTTTTCACCCGAGGAAAAAAAAAATGAGTAAGAACTGATAATACAGTGGCAAGAAGCTAAGAACATGAAGTAAAATTAATGAAGTCTTACGATTCAAGTATCTGAATCTGAAGAGCAGTGTGGCGGTGGTAACGTTTCTTCTTATCAGAGGAATCATGGTGGCTGCCACCGCCAGAGCCACCAGGTCCTCCACCACTCCCGTAATCCATTGCCTCTTGTCTCCCACAAGAGGCCTTTCAATAATGTTACTAGTTATACTGAAATTACCGAATAAATACACATTACAACCTGCATCTTATACTAATTAATCTCATTATCTCTCTTGTACTACCGGTAGTATATATACAATAGAACCATCAACGTAGAAAGCAATCGGAGAAAAACTTGAATACCGGAGAAACAAGTTTGACTTTCCGGTGAGAAACGCATGGGTAACGGCCGGAGACTTCCTGATATACACACACATAAGTTTGGATATATATATATATATATAGTATATATATATATATGTATATATTTGTGAGAGTGATATATAAAGAGAGAGAAGGGAGAAGATTGTGGGGGTGTCTGAGAGAGAAAGAGAGTAAATGCTTCAAAAATGAGAAGGGAATAACTTAAGGGGTTGGAGAGGAAGGTGGTAACGTAATTACAAGGGTTTTTTAGCTTGGTTTTTCAAGACCCACCAAGCCTCAACATTAACTAGGTAAGGTTTGCCTCATTATGTTGCAAGATTGGAATACAAATCATTTTGTACCTAAATTTTATGTCTTTAAATCAATTAAACTTTGATATATCATTAAATTTTTAAACTCAACTTCAAGAGTGATGCCTGATTGATTTGAGTTTGGCTCCAAATATCAAAAATACTAAGAGGTCTCAGGTTCAAATCGAAGGAGGAATAAAAACCCTTGTGGATACGAAGGTTCAAATGCGATAACTCTGGGCTTTCTGCAAAGCAGGTGGTCACCCTGAGATTAGTCGGCTCGCAGAACGAGTATCCAGGTTAATCAATTTTTTTTTAACTCATACAATATAAATAGGAATTTTTTAAAATTATGTTAAATAAAAAGGGTCGATTGGTAAGACATAAATGAAACATGGAGTTTGGAGATCGATGATTGGTATTTGCATTTTTCAAAGAGAAACGTCTCACATTTGATCTCAAATTCTGTATTAGAGTTGTCTCTTAGCATGTTAAATGTGAGATTTAGGTCTTTTTATCGACCTATGTAAAACCATAGCTGAGTTATTTAGGTTTTAAACCATTAATTGTTTGGTTTTATTCAAATCATTAATGGTTAAAGTTTAGTTTCAGATGGTTAATCGTTTTAGGTTTAACCCATTTTTGTTCTTAACATATATTCTCTGTTATCTCATTTATGCAATGTAATCAAAAATTCTGGATGTAGCAGGATCTCCAAAAAAATTGAAACGTCCTTGTCCTATGTTGTTTATATAGTTACTTTAACATACACTTTAATTTTATAGGATTAACGACTATACATCATACATAACAAAGTTAGGCAGCTTAATAACTTTTGTCAACAAAATGAGAACAATTAATAGAACACATGAAATCAATCGTCTTGTTTCCTTTTCTATATACACAATTTCTGAAAATTGTTGTATGAACTTTTTTTTAAATAAAACTTGTTATACATGACATTTTTTTTTCAAAAATGTCATGCAAAATGATTAATAAGACGATTTATTGTTTTATTAGTTTATCTAACTTCGTCGATAAAACTTGTTAGATAATTAGCTAACCTTGTCTTAGGGGTTGTTTGTTTACATCTTAATAAATAGTTCCATTAAGAGGTGTTCTCTGAATCATTAAGATGTAAATCTTGTTTGGCAAAAAAAAAGTCTGCCTCTTAATGGTTCTAAAACTCTTTCAATGATTTTGTATCTTGGATCTCCTTGAACCATTAAGAGCCCTAATTTCATTATACTTAATTATCAAACAATTATATTTTCATTTTGCACTATATCATAAGAGTCTCTTAATCATTCTGACCACTTAATCATTTTGCACTAAACCATTCAACAATTGTCAAACAACCCCTTAATAATTAATCTATTATGAGGCTGCTGTATGGTATATCACACAATTGTTATTCTTATAAACCTATAAGTTTCATCAAATATTTTACTAATATATAAAACTTCCAACCACGGAGACACTTGGTGATCATCATAAAACGCCGATTTTGTTGCAGTAAGTTGGTAATATTAGAAACATGTATTACATTTGAATCGATTGTACCGATGCTATCAACTTTTTAAGATATATTTTTCTTATTATCGTCGAGTTTAACGAGATAAAATATTTTGGATGACGAAAATAAAACAAAAAAGCTAGCCCTAACAAGTGGTTAGAGGGTTTATAATTTGTAATAATTGCAAGTAGATGTACAGTTGTTTTTAGGAGCTTTTATGACTGTTTGTAAGTAGAACAACACTCTTCCAGCTTTGAATCTCGACATGACTCGGAAGAGCTAATTGGGTTGTAGTTTTACAATTATGACCCTGATGGTACCAATATTTATGTCTTCCAACCACACGCATGGCATCCAAATCAATTGGGGTTATTATTGGAACTAGAATTGCAATACAACCAAATGTTACATTGAGAAGTACTACAATAAAGGTTTTAAAAGTTTGATAAACAAAATAAGAACAAGACCATAATACGTTTTATTTTCATACAATTTATCGAATTAAATATATAAAGTAGATAATGATTTTGTATTTTCACGTAAAGAAATGATTGATTATTGAAAGCCGTGAAAGTATGAAGAAATGCTTAGCCCGAACATATTGTTTTCATGGGGCCTAGCTCAAAGTGTTAACGGGTGGACGGGTTTTAAAGAGAGAAATATTCAGTGGGTCATGGACAAAAACTGTGGTTTGGGCGTATTTTGGAACGGGTGAAAGGTCGTTCATTTGGAATAATGTATCGGTTGTGGAAGGATACTGAGAAATTTTGTAGTTTAAAGGCCTTTCGGATTAACAAGTAATTATGAATCATCATAGATTTTTATAGGGTTAGGTTTCAATTTATTGATATCCTTTTTTGCTAATTTAACGTTGATTATATCCATGTTGAGAAAGATGCCTTGGTATTATGAATCGAGGAGAGAATGCACAATTCACTAATAAAAGTGATATGTTTGTGTGTAAGCACACATTGTTTATGCAAACAAATGACCCAATACAATAAATGTGGATAAATAAGATCTAAATAATGTGAATGATAGTATGGCTTGTATACACGAAACATAAAACATATGATCAAATACCAAATGACAAGCCAATCAAGACAACAAGATTTAACGTGGTTTCAGTATCGAGGTGAGTGAACGACCAAATTCTTCTCTAACACGTGTCCTAGAAGTCTCAGATGCCAAACACGAGTAGCATACAGATTCTTCAAGCTATCCACAACACACATGTTAGAAATAATTATCTCACTGACGAGATGAAAAATATTATTTTATGCTTGTTCGTCTTTCATCTCAATAAGTTCCATTGGAGACACGCAAATCCTCAATTGGAATCTTGCAACTAAATTTTGATAGTTGGCCAACAAATATCATAAAACGAGTCATAGATGATATGTATTTGACATTCTTCAAAATTCTAATACAACTGTCAGTTTTTTATTATTATTGTAGTACTGATACCTTGAGTACACATGAAGTGTTGTTTCTGATATATTTTGTTTTCTTCAAGCTTTTCAAATGTAAAGAAACAATCATGGAATGGTGACAGGATACCTTAGTATCCAACACCCATCACTTGTCACCTAGTAATTGGTGTTACTATAGTTGAGAAAGTATTCCATTCTTCTTGTTTGGTTACTATCGTTGATGATTCGACTTCATTCTTGCCCTTATGTTTGAGACTTAGATTGCATTTTACCAATAACCTGGTTTGGTAGAAGTAGTTACAGTTGCCATGTTGCATCGATTTCCTATAATAACTAGGTTTGTGGGACTGAGAGTACTACTCATTCCTTATCTTGTTTGCTTGTTCATCATCTTGGTTTCATTCAACATACAAGCCATAACTTTCATTGTTATCCCAGGAACTATTCTTGACTCTTATTTGAGTTAATGATCTTCACATAGTATACATGTCTTCACTTCTAACAGAAGAAATGGTATCTCTATCGTATATCAAATTATTAGCAAAAAGGGTAATCTTGTCGAGAAGAGATGGTAACAAAAACCATAGTGCTTCTATCTCTTGAACTAGAGGCGCATGTGTTGCTTTCTTCCTCATAATAAGATTTTTTAAATGCAATCAAGTGATTTTTAGTTGTTGTACCTTTTTTCATTTTGAAAAGATGACACGACCACATCATAATCAATCTGTTAGTCAAAGATTTCGTCACACAAAGTTCTTCCAATCCGTTCCAAATCCCCTTTATTGTCGTTTCTAAAGCTATTCCAGATATCACGTTTTATTCCATTGCCAGATAAAGAGTAGTGAATGCCCTTTCCTTCATTTCATGTAACTTGAAATCAGAGATGTTTGAATTCAACTTATCTAGTGCAAAAACCAATAGAGAACTCCATTCTTTCGAAGTGCCACTTTCATGTGAACTACCATTTACCAAAGTCATTCTCCTCATTCCAAATCTTAACTGATATACTAACCCTTTATAAAGTTATAAGATCCTTTTCGATAGGACTTGGGTCGATGAAAAATAATTTTCCTCTTGACTATACATTTTTAAGAGTGCTTGGTTTGCAATTCAATATACACAACTTCAAATCTAGTTATGTAAACTATGATATGAATTATAGGGTTTGGATTCACAATAAGACATATAAACAAGATCGAAATGATACAAACATTGATCCAATCAAGTATACCCATCCACGAGCATAAAAAATGTAGCAAACAAGCAATGTATAAAAAATTATTAAATGACACATAAATGGAGACAACAAGATTTAACATGGTTACATTATCGCGGTGATAGTGTACGTCTACAAGAAGAGAGAGATTTATTTTATTACTAATCAGAACGATTACAACTTGTTATAGATGATCCTTGGATCCCGGATCAACCAATATACAATGCTTCTTCCATAGCCTTCAAAAACTGAAAAGTATGATGAAAAGAAAACATTTTTGAAAGATTATCAGCTAGTGGAAAGTTTACCTACATTAAGTTCTTTAATGTTTTGAAAAATTC